TCAAATGTGTATTAACAGGGGAAAATGATGTTTCTTAAAAAGGGAAATATCCTAAATGAGAGTCGCTGAATTGGACAGATGGAATAATTCATATCCTAAAGATGGTTTAGTTATCAAAAAAGTGTTAATTGGAGAATGCAGTCAAGTCCGAAGCATTTCTCAGGGTTCTAATGATAGAGCAAATGCAATAATCAGCGGCACATTTCCTGCATTACTATGCAAATCGTGCTGCCTCTAAATTAATAGTTGTCATTTGTTGTGTTTCCTGGTTTCTCCTATCCCTTTCATTTTGGTATCAGAGATTAAGAAAAAAGGCATACTTCTATTATCAGTCAACTTTTGACTACATGTATTTTCACTCTTTTTGGCCAAGCTCTAGTTCACTGACACCGACTTAATGAAAAGAAATGATAGTACTATTAAAAAATAATTATGGACTTAAAATAGCAGGCACATTCTTAACCACCATGGTTAAAATAGAGATGGGTTATGATTAGAGCCTTAAGTGTAACTGTGAATTATCCTCCTTCTGCTGTTTGAGGGGAAGGGAAAGAGTATATAATGATTCCAAACATTTTTTTTGTTTTTAAAATTATTTTTGGCTGGAGGCATAGTTTAAAGATACATATGTTTTGCTGTGAAATGCTCTAAGAAGCCAGTTTCATGGCGTATCAGTGATTCCTAAATCGGGCAGGAGGGAAAGCTGCATTATCAGACTCAGGGGGAGTAACTTCTCAGTGTCAATGTCCCCCTGGAGATTCTGGCATCTAGCTGAAAGGAGACCATTCATTCCCCCCTACTCCTTGCTAGCACAAACCACTTTCAGTAATTGATAGAATAATATTCTTTAGCTATCTTGGGGATATACATAGGTTGAGAACTACCAACTTGAATTTGCAGTTTAAGAACTAGGCCACTGTAACTTAACTCTCTTGTCTTTTAGGATAAGATTAGGTACCAATTACTGAGTATGTATATGTACTAGCTACTTTGCTATGTACTTACATACATAGATGAGGAACTGGAGGCTTGGTGAAGCATACTGTCCAAGACAACCTGTTAGTGGCACTGCTGTGATTTGCATCCTAGCTTTTTGGTTTCCGAAGCTCAATAAAAAAGATAACTATCAATTTGAACAACTGGGGCAAAGCCCTGTAATGGACATCTGTGCTTGCCTGCCACCATCTCTTTCTGTCTTAGGGTGGCAGCACCCCAACTTGGGGCTTCGCATGTGGCACTAGTGGTAATCAACCCACCTGCCAATGCACAAGACATAAGAGATGTGGGTTCGATCCCTGGGTCAGGAAGATCCCCTGGAGGAGGGCATGGCAACCCACTCCAGCATTCTTGCCTAGAGAATCCTATGGATAGAGGACTGGTGGGCTATAGTCCATAGGGTTGCACAGAGTTGGACAGGACTGAAGTGACTTAGCATGCATGCACCCCAACTCTCCTTTGGGGATCACTCATCTCTCACTCTCAGTTCATATGGCTCATTCTCACTGCTGACTCCAGGCATGGCCTCTTTCTCAAGTTCAACCAATCAATGATCACCTCCTAGAACCTCAGCCACAGGGATTGGTCCAGGGATGGGCACATGACCCTTATAGATATTATAAGAATTTGGCTTAAGCAATTACAGAGACGAAGAAGTCCCAACATCTGGGTTGGCAGGCTAGAGACTCAAGAGAACTGATGTATAGCTCCAGTCTGAGTCTGAGTCTACAGGCCTGAGAACCAGGAGAGCCAAAAATATAAGTTCCAGTTCAAACCCTGGCAGGCTGGAGACCCAGGAAGAGCTGATGTTTCAGTCTGAGTCTGAAGGCTGGAAAGACCAATGTTCCAGCTCAAGGAATCAGGCAGGAGGGGTTCCCTCCTACTCTTGGGAGGATCGGCCTTTTTGTTCTACTCAGGCTTTCAGTGGATTGGATGAGGCTCCCCCTTGCGAAAGTGAGCAATCTTCTTTCTTCAGTTTATCGATTCAAATGTTCGTCTCATCCCAAAACACTCTCACAGCACATTCAGACTAGGTTTGACCCAATATCTGAGCCCTTCATGGCCAAGTTGACACACAAAATTAACCATCACGATATCAGAGAGCAGAGCTGAGTGACGCTATAACATGAATGACTCAGTCAGCGACATCTCTACTTCTAGCCATGCCTCATTCTTTCCCTTGGGTCACTTCTCACACAAAAGCCAATAAATCCCCAGCTCCATCCCCCTTTCTGAGGGAGGAGGGAAGAGATCTTACCAACATGAACCCCTCACTAGCCAATACCTCCAAGTCTTCACATAGCCCTGATGAAATGTAAATCAGGTGCCCACTGTACTGAAGTGCATTGAAAACACACATGAACATGCAATTGCTGGCCCTGTGTGTGTGACTCTGCTGCATTTAGGGTCAGTGGCAGGGACCACAAGGCAAGAACATTGCTTCTGGGCATCTCACAGGATAGCACCCTGTATACGGAAATGAAGGGCTTTCAACACATTTGCAGTCTTTCAGTAATTTTCCATTCTTTCAGGCATTTTAAATTCCAACATTGGTCAGTTTTATTGCTTTTAATTTTCTTTTTGACTTTTAAAAATTTCAAATAAAATTACTCTTTGAGGCAAGATTGTCCTGTGGTTTTGTCCACATTTTTAAAAAGTTAACCTGTTTTTTTCTGCTGAGATATTTGGAAAAAGCTCTTAACAGCAAAAGTTAGGTCTTGAATGCCTCCTTACTTTTCCTGGGCTGTCTTTCAGGCTATCCTTACATTCAGGAATCTATTCACAATCCCTTTTTTATAATATAGAGACGGAACTAAGAAGACCTAACTTATAATTAATTACTTTCCCAAGTCCTTTGTCCTTCTTTTAATGTGTCCCTGAGTGCTAGTTATGGATTCATCCATATATGTTTATTTCTAAAAATAAGAGAGTCCTCCAGTCAATTAACACAGAAGCCTGTCTTGTAGTGGAACAGTACCTCTAGTTTCTGGCCAAAACCTTCTCTTAGTTTTATTTGAAAAAAAAAAAAAAAAGACTTCACTATTGCTTGTTCATTTAAAACTGCACTGTTTGAGCTGGTGTGTACTTACCCCACCTATCCAACTGATGCCTTCTTAGAATAAAAACAACAAAGTCATTTGAGCTTGCAAAACTATAAAGATATTTGGAACATGTCTATAACTCCAATTATATCATCCCCAAACTTACATGGTTATTGTATTGTCAGTTTACTTCAAAGGGCAGTTTTGAGAATAAGCTGAAGTATGAGATATGAAAAAGTATGTTAAAATACTCCCAAAGGTAGTTATTCCATAGTATCCTTTATAACATGGGATTGGAGGATCTTAATGGGGTTGAGTGGGCTTCCCTGACCGCTCAGTTGGTAAAGAATTCACATGCATTGCAGGAGACCCCGGTTCAATTCCTGGGTGGGAAAGATCCTCTGGAGAAGGGATAGGCTGCCCACATCAGTATTCTTAGGCTTCCCTTGTGGCTCAGCTGGTAAAGAACCTGTCTGCAATGCGGGAGACCTGGGTTCAATCCCTGGGTTGGGAAGATCCCCTGAAGAAGGGAAAGGCTACCCACTCCAGTATTCTGGCCTGGAGAATTCCATGGACTGTATAGTCCATGCGGTTGTGAAGAGTTGAACACGAATGGGATTGAGGGATGAGTAACTTTCTGAACTACGTAAATCCATTTTGGAAAGCCCATTGTCTCAAGTCCTATGGGACCGAGTTCTCAATCTTCCCCGACCACAGCATGCATGAGAGTCATAACCTGCACGAAAGCCCAGAATCCTTAAAAGTTCCACACTCCAAATTATTTGGGATGTAGCATCCTACTTAAATGTGTTGCCGTAACTAGGAATAAGACATCAGTAATTGTGACTCCCTGTGGCTTAGGGGTGCCTAGGACAGAAAGGGTGGAGAGAGTGATGGAATTTCCCCTTCAAACACTCCACATGTCACCTCCTTCTCCTTCATAAAGCAGATGAGAATGCAAATGGGTGATCACAGGTCGTTTGCGGCTAACCTGAAATCTGAGGTAAATTTTTGTCCTTTAAGCTTTAGCAACATAACTGCTTAAATTCTCAGTAGCAAATATTTCTTGGGGACTAACTCACAAATGAACTTGACCCACTCATGATTCATGACCCTGAAGAAGCGTATGCGAAAGGGGGTCGGGGGCAGGGGTCAGTAGAGATATTTGGTGGGAGAGACTGTGTTCTTTGTTGTTATTTAGTCATTCAGCTCTGTCTGACTCTTTTGTGACCCCATGGGCTATAGCCCACCAGGCTCCTCTGTCCATGGGATTTCCCAGTCAAGAATACTGGAGTGGGTTGTCATTTTCTTCTCCAGGGGATCGAACCTGCATCTCCTGCATTGGCAGGCAAATTCTTTACCACTGAGCCATCAAGGAAGCACAGAGATTGGATTACCATGTCTTAAAACATCTTTTCAAAGTCAAATGTGTCCCTGGAATTTCAGAGAAACTTCCATTTGCTTACCTATAAAATGGGAGTAGTTAGGACTGGAGGCAATACCTGGTAGCGTGGAGACTGCAGGTGCTCAGTGAGGGGCAGAGAATCTTCCTTTATAAGATATAACAGTGGAGTGGTCTGTGGGTTGCAGGGACTCGGGAAGGATTATGATATGAGCACCAAGCGTTTGCAGTGCATTTTGCCAGCATGTTGGGAGAAAAATGGGAACAAGCAGAGCACACGGTCCGTGTCTTCCTGGAGTGTCCCACTACGTGGTGGAGACAGACACCGGCTTAAAGACTTCTGCTTTGGCCAGGTGTGGATAAAACCTACTCAGAAGGGCAGAGAAAGTTCCCCGGAAGTGGAATTGGCAGGGGAAGGTAGCAAATGTTTGCATTGCTCTAAAACACATGCTGTCATGACGCTTAAGAGCATTACCACCCACCCCGAATCGTTCTCCAATTCTACCTTAACACACAACTGTGCAGAGAGTCCTTTATTATTTTCTTAAATCAGGTGTGGCTGCTGGGGACACAAAGCCGTTCCTTGGTGCCCTCCGAGGGAGCACAAAGAAAATTACAAGGGCGTGAACTACAGCGATTACAAAGAAGCTGAGACAGGAGACTCTGTCAAATGCGTGCATTCCTTGGCAGGTACAGCCAGCTCATTTTTATTGCACAAACAAACGCTACCGGGAAGCGACGCCATAGATGTCATAGATGGGGCGTGGAGGGGACAGATGGCAGGGGGGTGCTTCTTGGAACCAGCTAGAGTATGAGGCTCTTTTCTTCCTTGGAGAACTTTTGCCTTTAAAAAAGAGAATGGAATGCTTTCCATCCTTATGACTGTTAACAGTGAAGTGGGTGATTCCCACCCTCCCCTCCTGGGTACTGCCCACCCCCACTCCCCAGGACCTTGCCTCTATTTTCTGGCAGGGTTTGGCCTGGGACCTGGGAGCCCGAAAGCAGCTCCGGCCTTTGGTTTGTGAGTGACTGTTTAATGCGCAGGCGGCATTCTCTCAACCAAATCCAACCCTTTGTTTTTCCTGAAGCCGCACAGAGCAGCCTCTAAGCCTGGAAGACTTAGCTCCATCCAAGGCCCGAGTGGAGGAAAAAGACTGGAATGATCACTCGCTTGGAGCCATGAGCTCAGGTGCGGTTGCCAGTGTCTGGTCCAGAGGTAACAACAGTTTGCACGAGCCTTTCACTCGGGAGCTAGGTGATTAATGCACCAACACGAACACAATTGGACAGCCATGCTCCTAAAACATGGGGCAGAGCAGTCCCAAATACAGGCAGGCATTGTTTAAATCTTGGGACAAATAAAAGTTGTCCTCACTCAGCCACTAAGGGAAAGGGACTTGCATTGTTTGAGTGCCAACAGGTTTCAGACTCTATGCTAGCTGCTTGCAGTAGGCTGCTTGATCCAGGCTCGTAAGAATGTAGAAAGTGGGCATGATTATGTCCGTTGTATAGGAGAAGCAGGCACTCAGAGGTGAAGAGAGCTTCCTGAAGTTGCTGCCTTCATAAACCTGGTAGACGAACCAGGGTCCTATCCCAGCCTTGCCAGACCAACACCATTGCCACGTGCTCCCTTCTAGAACGTTCCTCCCTGGGGTCTCTTGTTGTTACTGTGAGTTGTTATTGTTCTTTCTTCTGTGCTTCGCCCACTATCGCTTCTGAAATATTCATTGATGACCAAACAGCTGTGCTTGTAGGCATGATCTTGTGCCAAGCAAAGCACGCAGGAAGCAGAGGGACCCTACCGAGTGCAGAGGCTAGAGACCAGTAGCTGAGACGTCCACAAGCATTTTTCATTGTCTCCCATGTGACAAAGTTGGGTGCCACAGTTCAAGACAGGCAGTTTGGCTGCACAGCACCAGCCCGGGGGCACCATTCTTAACAGAAGTGTGTGGACTGGAGGTGGAAGAAGGCAGGTCCTGGCCAGCGGGTCTCTGTCTCCCCACTCTGTGAAACCCCCACTCCGTGGAAGCCAGAGCAGCACGGCATTTACCCGTTGTCTCCGTTTCAGCTCCTGTAAGACATCATTTGAAGAGTAGTTGCTGCGATCTAAAATAGAATCAGCCTTGGTTTTTATCTGTAAAGCTGAGGTCCATGTGATTTGTGATGAGTTGCCCAAGTGCACCCAGCAGTTGGTTATTGGCAAATCCAGAACCAACTCCGACATCATAGGGAAAAGCCCAGAGCCTCCTGCGCCCATCCTTGCCTTTTGAACACCAGTTGCAAGGCCTCCTCTTGGCAAGATGTGGCTGAAGAATCCCTTCTGAGGCATCATGACCATTGATCTGCCTTGTGAGAAAACCCATCAAACTCCCTTTTATGATAGTAATCTGCTGAGGACTCACCCGATGCCAAGACTGTTCTAGGTGACTTTCAAGCCTTATCTCATTTAATTCTGGCAGAGACCCTCAAGATAAAGCACTCTTATTGCCACTGTTTCACAAAAGAGAATATTTGCTCAATGACTTACCCATGGTTGACCCAGGAGGCCCTGGATCCCAAGCAAAGCTGTTTCTCCCTAAATGTTGCACTGAACAGAGAAATAATTCAGCCATTTCTTCCATTCATTTTGTATTGCTTCTGGTTATAATATACTTTTTTTTTTAATCTAGTGAGGGAAGCTTGAAAGCGGTTAGGCCAAGAGATCCTGTTTATTATTTAGGCAACAGTTTCAGTGATGACTTTCATATGAACCTTATCAGTGTCAAACCAGAGTTTACTAACACTTTGCTGACTTATAAACAGGCTCCCACACACTCACTCTGGAGCTTATACAGAGAAGCACATGTAAACATTTCAAAACATTTCTGGTGGGCAATTAATTTTTTCCTTTGGGAAAATATCCAATTGATGATAATAATGAAGCAATGCATGTTTTGAAGATAAATAATATGAAAATGGGTGGCTTCGGTTTCTTTCAGGAATTGTGGGATGCTTAGAATTTGTCATTAAGGTTCTGTGTGCTTAGAGGTCCATTTTGCAAGTGGCTCCAAGGAGTGTGCTCAGGAGCGCAAGATGGAAGAGGGGAGACCGGTTATGAGGCTTTTTGGTTTATTTGGAAATTCTGTGTCTTCTGGAGAGCCAAGGACTTTTGTCTTTGGAACGTTCTTTGTTTTTTCCAAAATACAGTGATGTACTTCTAAGACCCTTCTCTTAGGCTACTTCCAGATTTCTTCCTTGCCATTTCAGAAATGGCATTTCTCTCTCTCTCCTCTCTCTGTGGGAAAGGTGATCTGGGAGGGTGGCCAGTGCTGGCAGGGGAAAGCAGGAGCATGTTTATCTTGGTTTATGACCCCAGCACTTCCAAAAGGAGAAACGTTCACATCTGAGCATCTTCCCTCAGTCTATTGTCCATCTCTGAGATCTCCAAAGATGTCAACACCTGTGTCATTGTGGCTTGCTTTCCTTTAGAACCGTGAAGATGATATTCCTGCAGTTGAACATCAGACAACACTTTTGGTGAAGGGCTTCAAGAAAAGCACCAACAAAGCTAAATCTAGGACCTGCAGTCGTGAACAGTGTGTATCAACTGTCAGATTTGAAAACCGTTCCCCATAGGTTCATACAGGGGCCCTGGAAAGGTCATTAACACATTCAATGCCTCTCCTTTTCTCTTGGCACATAGTAGGATTGCATCTCCCCACCCACTTTGAAGTTAAGCCTGACCGTGTGACTTGACTTGACCCCTGACATGTCAATGGCAGAGCTCGGAGCCCGAGTGTAACCTGCTCCGGTCTCTTTCCCTCCATCCTGGCAACCAGCAGCATCTGCAGAGGTGACGACTCCATCAGCGCTGATCTGTGATGGGCATCTTTTGTGTGATGTAAGTAATCGGCAGATAGGTAGGGGTCCAGGCCTGGGTGCCTGTCCATGGAGAATTTTTTGACTGGGTGAGAGTAGCCATCTGAAGGTTTCTTCTAAATATCCAATTACCATGAAATTTCAAGTTGGAAGTTAACTATGATGTCTTTCTGGGTGATGCCTCTGTGTTACGTTTCCTGATCAAAGATCTAGGGGAAGATTTGGTCTTATCAGCTGTGTAAGCTTCATAGCCAAATCATTAATCTTCCTGAACCCCCATTCCAAAAATCTGCAAGTGGGGTGGCAACCACCTCTGCCTATTTATGACCCTTTGGAGGAGCTTTAAAGGCAAAGTAAGATGGTGTTTGTGGAAATGCAGTCCCAGCAGTGTCAATACAGTATCATCATTCCTAGGTATAACAGGCATTGTGCTCACCAGCTCCCGGTTGCTGGCATGGGTGGTCTAAGGGTTGGTGTAGATGGTGAATGCATTCTGGTGGGGCCAGTGGTCAGGGGGCCTCACTGGATGGAGTAAGAAGCTCTTTCTGAACTCAGGAACTGGAGGCCCTGTAACTCCTCGAAACTGTGCTGCCTGCAGATAAGCCTGCTTTTCCAAACACAAGTTCTGCATCTTGGTTCATCCATTTGCAAAACACCTGAAATATCTACCTCATAGGCTTGATCTCTACAAAATAACAACTAAGGAAACACCCTAAAACCAGGAGGGTCCAAAAATCAGTTCTACAAGGCCAGTGGTCCTTTTTTCCATCTGAGAGTCCCTTTGGTCAGTTGGTCCTGGTAGGTCCCATTTGTGAGGAATCCAGTCTCAAAAATCAATCATCTTGGCAATTTCTGAGACAGTGGGAGGCAAAGAAGCACTTATCAACTGTCTGTAAGTAAGAATATCTGTCTTTCCTAGCAGATAGATGGCCTTTCTTGGATATAGCCCACTAATTTTTATTAATCTTTTGCTGTGGAGTGGATCCTGAGTCTTGACTAATTTTTTTAACTCCAAATATTTGGATGATTTGAGACCCCCCAAAAAAATGGCCTTTTAATTTTTGCATATTTTTCTTTTTAGTGCAATGTGATTTCTATTTTCAAGTACACAGATTCAGAATAACTCAGTTCTTCAGTGCCTTCCTCCTCTTCTCCCTCCCTCCCTCATTTCCTGTTCTGTAGCACTCTGACCAGCCTTCTGCTGATTCTGGCTTCCTGGGCAAAGCCTTGGAGCTGGACATCTTCCAAAACTACCCCTGGAAAATGATGGTGGCAACTCCCATAGACTCTTCCTTGGAACAAGCACCGCAGGACATGTTGCCTCCTCATTTGGGAGTGTGGTTACCGAGCTGGGCAGGGATGTCAGGCTGTAACTGATTCATTCATGAGTCTGGCCTCAGTGCACAGAGAGAAGCCGTTTCCCCACCCTGGATCCCCCTTCCCCAGCGAAGCGGTTTCAGCTTATCTCTAAGGAGATTAGAGGACCTCTGGCTCATTGCTGCCTTTCTTTCGGTGCCAAAAGGCCTAGCAGATCAAAGTCGACATGACTTCACACAGCTAGTGGCTTATCTTCTGCCTGTCCTAAGACCACTGACCTCTCAATTAAGGTTTTAAGAACAATTTCTTTTGGGGGAGGAAGTGCTCATAGGATGGAGGACAGTTTACACTACCAGACCTCTGGTCCTGACCCTACTGACTGGGCGGCTTGTCTTGACTGCTCACCATGCAATTAGGCAGCATTTTTCAATTCCCTTATAAAGAAAAAAATGTTATTTTTGCCAAAAATATCTCCAAATGTCCTAAAGCATTCTATTTTTCATATCTAATGAGGTGACAGTGGAATTTGTTAGACGAATATGACTTTATCAAGCTTTAATGCTAACACTCCTCTCAAACCCAGAGCTTCATGGCGCGTCAAAGGAGATACTGATAACCCAAAGCCTTGGCTGACTGACGCATTTGGGTGCATTCCTGTGCTTCCTTGTGGAGACCAGCTCCTCACCCCCTGCATAGTTTCAGCCTTGTTAGAGTCTTCCTTGAAGCGTGGCCTGCTAGTTTGCAAGTTTTGAGTTGATTAAATTGAATGCCAAAGAAAAATATTTTGTACCATGGTGCTGAAAAATTCTCTGAAAGAGGTGGGCTTTTCAGATGGATGTTGTAAACTGGTGAATTATGCATGTGTGTATTTACATATATGCATGTATGTGTATATATATATACACACACCCACACACAGTTTTCTGAATGTCTGTCTAGTCAAAGCTATGGTTTTTCCAGTAGTCATGTATGGATGTGAGAGTTGGACTACAAGGAAAGCTGAGCACCGAAGAATTGATACTTTTGAACTGTGGTGTTGGAGAAGACTCTTGAGAGTCCCTTGGACTGCAAGGAGATCAAACCAGTCCATCCTAAAGAAAATCAGTCCTGAATATTTATTGGAAGGACTGATGCTGAAGCTGAAACTCCACTACTTAGGCCACCTGATGTGAAGAACTGACTCATTTGAAAAGACCCTGATGCTGGGAAAGATTGAAGGCGGGAGGAGAAGGGGTTGACAGAGGATGAAATGGCTGGATGGCATCACCGACTCGACGAACATGAGTTTGAGCAAGCTCTGGGGAGTTGGTGATGGACAGGGAAGCCTGGTGTGCTGCAGTCCATGGGGTTGCAAAGATTCAGACACGACTGAGCGACTGAACTGAAGTGAACTAATACACACTCTGCTTTTGTTGTTCAGTCGCTAAGTTGTGTCTGATTCTTTGCAATCTCATGGACTGCAGCATGCCAGGGAGTCCAGACTGCCCTTCACTGTCTCCCAGAGCTTGTTCAAACTCATGTCCATTGAGTCAGTGATGCCATCCAACCATCTCATCCTCTGCTGCCCGCTTCTCCTCCTCATATATATATATAGATATACACACACATACATATATATATACATAATGTATGCATATATATATATGTACACATTATGTATATATACACACATGGGCATACTTAGTGTGTTTCATTTTATTGTACTTTACAGATATTACATTTTTCACAGACTTCAGGTTTGCAGCCACTACATCAAACAAGTCTATCAGTGCCATTTTTCCAACAGCATTTGCTCACTTCCTGTCTCAGTGCCATATGTTGATCATTTGCAGAATATTTCAAGCTTTTTCATTATTATTATACTTGTTTATGGTGATCTATGATCAGTAATCTTATTGCAAAATGATGATAGCACCCACTCATTCAATAAAGATGATAGCAACCACTCAGATGGTGGTAAGCATTTTATAGCATAAACAGTATTTTTAAATTAAAACAGGTACTTTTCTTGTTTATACATAAGGCTATTGCATATTTAATACAATACAGTGTAAACATAACTTTTGTATGCACTGGGAAACCAAAAAATTAATGTCACTTGCTTTATTGTGCTATTTGCATTATTGTTGCAGTCTGGACCAGAACTTGAAATATCTCTGACATATGCCTATGTACACACACACATACACACACACACACACACACACACACACACATTTTTTACTAGCAGATATACTGTCTCTTTATTGGATGTTTGTGCCAGGTTCCCTGGAATATACCATGGATGTGTATAACCAGTCTCTCCCCTTGAGAAACTTACCCTATACCAAGGAGTGATGAATTAAGTGTTAGATTATTGTAATAGGCTAGAGCTCAGACTCCAGGGCGCACAGACTGGGGTTTGAATCTCGACTTCAATGATTACTACTTGTTCACCCTCAAGAAAGTTACTTAACTCTCCAATCTTCTGTTTCTTTGTCTTTAAAACTGGGAGAAGCATCCTTAGTGCTTCTCAGGTTTCTGTAAGGATCAAATGACATAAACCATTAAGGTCTATAGTCCAGTGTACGCGCATATGTAAGTATTCAATAAATAGTCTTGGCTAGTTGTTTCATTATTACTGGGTAAATTTTAAAATTTTATTGTTCAAGGTGGGGTAGGATTTCCTGAAAGGCAGGGAGGCAGAGAGCCCTCTGTGGAGCAGGAGTGGACAGGCGCGCAGACTGGGTATCAAGCGCACCCCTGGGGAAACCTCAGTAGCCACCGGCAGGCTCTAGGCTTGTCTTCCTCAGCATTCAAACGTATCTGCCTGCACGACTTGCTGGGAATTACCCAGGAAGCCACACAGTTAGTTTTCTGTATCTGCTACAGATGAGGGTCAGTTGTCATTTCCATCATAAAATCCATGCTTCATGGATCTAAAGCTTGGAATTTAAAATGACATGGGGCTTAAACTCCACTTGACACTTTTGATTTAAAACCTTCTCAGAGAACAAGAGTCCACTGCAGGCTCTTTGGTATAAGTTACCTTTTGAAAATGAATTCGGTGTCTGGTTTTGCATAGCCTTTTCAATGACAAATAGATTTAAACCAAAAGTCATTAAAAAACAACAGCTTTTTAAAAAGCAAATAATCAGCCACACTTACATTCTCTTTGGACAAATGACTGGTGCCTGGGGAGGGTTTCATTTTATCTCTCTTTTTTTTTTCTAATTTTTTTTCCATTTATTTTTATTAGTTGGAGGCTAATTACTTTACATCATTGCAGTGGTTTTTGTCATTTTATCTCTTTTAATGATGACTTTCCAAAATGGCTACTTGAGAAAAGGACAGTTTGAAGAAAGAAAGGCAAGACATTTTTTTTTTTTAAGGCAAGACATTTTTAGAGGTTACTCTTTTAGCCTCTAGAGATGTATATTTAATTCATTCAAATTTTAATGTGGAACTTGATTTTAAAGATAAAAAAGTGTCATATATAATATCAGTAAATGTTTGGTCTTTTGGCTTTTGCATCAGACACCCTACAGCTACATATGCATCTGTTAGAAGACTGATCCAAAAGCATTTTATTTCAAAACAGCTAGATCAATATTCCACAGAAAGTAGCTGATGGCCAAGATCAACAAGGAATTTCAATTTTTTGTTGAAAAAAAAGTTGCTCTGATTTCAACTTCGGAGAGAAATGGTAACATGAAAATGTTCAGAGAAGATTCCAAGAGAAAGTTGAAAGTTGGAAGTACTTACAGGAAATGAACTCGATCTAGTTGAAAATTTTAAAATTCCAAAATGTTTAGTTGTTGTTTAATCGCTAAGTCATGTCTGACTCTTTGTGAGCCCATGGACTGTAGCCCACCAGGCTCCTCTGTCCATGGGATTTTCCAGGCAAGAATACTGGAGTGGGTAGCCATTTCCTTCCCCAATAGTGTTTAGTATCATGGTGTAAACAAACCCTTTTGTGTTTCTCTAGAGAACCCAGGTGAAGGTGATGGGAAAAGGGAAAAGATCATGGAGCTGCAACGTCATTTATTTGCAGTTTTTATTGTGAGCAGGAGCACAAGTAATGGCAGATGGGACTTGGGGAAATGGCTTTCCCCCTCCTAGACAGACATGGTTATCTCCCATGGCCTTTCAGTTTTTATTTTCCAGAATCCAGTGAATGTATCTTCTCACCTTGGGCTACCTTCATAATTAGACTTAAATTCTAAGAAAAGCTATTAAAGGCCTCAGGCGAGGCTGGTGAGGGAGTATAGCTTCATGTGCTATTGAACCGGATGAACAGGTTTCCTTGGACTCAAGCTGGGGAAAGATGCCTGAACGACTCCCAGGCCCTCGTGGATTTCTATTCGCTGAGTAAAGATGTGAGCGCTCAGGTATCCTGTCCACTCAGAGATAGACTGGAAAGTAACGACAATGATACTGGCAACTTCCTCTAGACCCCAGAGGTGGGATTTCTTTCCCTACCCCTTGAACCTGGCCCAGCCCTGCGACTTGCTATGACCAATAGAATATGGCAAAGTTGTCTAAGTTCTGGAGCCTAGGCCTCAAGCGGCCTTGCAGCTCCTTCCTTTGTCCTCAGAATGCTTGTCACCACATGAGAAAGCCCAGGCTAGATGACTGAGACTGTGATGAGAAAGGTCAGACTGACAATCAGCATCAAGGTTCAGGCATGTGAGTGAGGTCAGCTGAGTCCCTCCAGCCCCAGCTGGGCCACTGGCTGATGGCCCCTGCCTGCAAAGAAATGTGAGCACAGGCAAGACCAAAAGAACTTCCCATCGACACACAGAATCATGAGAAGCAATAAATCGGGATTTTAAGTCAGGGTCCTTGGGCCATCCTGACCAAGCATGTGCTTTTGTAAATAAAGTTTTATTAGGACAGCACTACAGTCATTCATTCCATATTGTCTATGGCTGCTCTTACGCCTTAACACAGAGTCAAGTAGCTGTAATAGAGACCATGTGGCCCCCAAAGCCTAAGCCATTCACTCTGTTGTTCTGTATGAAACAAATACACCTACCCATGTTTTAGCCATTAAGTGTCTTGATGCAGTGGGAAAAAAAAAACAACAACAAATTGGTGTATTATGCAGTATTCTCTAGAGAAGCAGAAGCAATAAGCTTTGGTCTGATGTGGTGATGGAGGCTGAGAAGTCCCCAGATCTGTGGTCAGCAAATCAGCCCAGGAGAGCTGATGGTATAGTTCCAATGCCAAACTGACTGTCTAGAAACTCGAGGAAAAAGAGTGTTTCAGCTCAAATTTGAAGGTGAGGAAGGACTGGTGTTCCAGCTCAAGTGATCAGGCAGTTCTTACCATTGAGACAGACAGCCTTTTTTGTTCTACTCAGGCCTTTGACAGATTGGATGAGGCCCACCTATCTTGGAGAGGGCAAGCTGCTTTATTCATTCTGTCATTTCAAATCTTGATCTCATCCAGAAACACCCTCTTAGACACATCCAGAATAATGTCTGACCACATATCTGGGCACCCTGTGGCCCAGTCATGTTGATGCATAGAATTAACCATCATAGTTGGTATCAGTATAGGTTTTGTTTCAGTAACAAAAACCTAAAATTAATGACATTGGACTAGGAAGTGGACAGAAGGCGAACAGGACACTATTAGTGAGGGCTGAA